TTTTATTTTTATTTTTTATTTTTTTAAGAAACCGAATGTGGTTCATACCAGTACCTGCCTGCAGAAAAGACCAACCATAGATTATTTTTGGCTAAATGCTGCTTCTTGTTATTAGTCCTTTATTCCATCTGCTGTACAGATATGTTCAAATACTGGCACCGAGGGAAGAGACATGTAGAGCCGCAGACTGGGGTGAAATGAGTATTTAAGTTTCCGCTCTACTGGAAAACAAACTTTACACAAGCAAGTGTGTGTTTGTCTTCATGCATAAGCGTATTATGTAACGTGTCTGGAGGAAGGCTTCTCTAGACCTGAGGGAGATTAAACATTTTTGGATGTCACTCAGGACGTGAATCACACCCCGGTGCCTGAGCAGCTGGGTTTAAACTGTTGGAAATAGCAGTACAAATACACTCAATGTGTGTGTGCACACACACTGCCTCACTGCCACTCCACTGCATTTGTTGTCAGGCTGTTTTGACAAGAAAATTAGAATTTTAATAAAGATTCAACTTGCAGCAAAGAATTTGTATATGTGCAGCCACACAACCATCGTAGTCACACATTCATGTGCACACACAAACAGCACATCCTTGCTTGCAGCAATGTTCCAGGTGTAATTATAGAAAGTTTGCCCCGTTTACGGCCTGCTTTAATGCCTTGGACTCGTGTTGCCACTGGATTTCCGCAGGGTTTTTTTTCCACATGTTCAACTAAGCTTATCTTACTTTAATGAGTTTTTCCCCTTCCTGTAGAAGAGTTTCAATGTTTCATTGGTTCAGCCAAGCGATGGCCTGAGAGCCCCTGTGAGTAAATGCCCCTACGCTTGAACTGTGGTGCACAAGTTCAGGCAATCTGCGGGTTGGCCCTCAGGTCAGTTTGAGACCTCTGGAGCTATCAATTTGGTTTTTACAGTCTCTTCACAAGCTTTAAATAACGACCTGAGGGCTGCTGAGTTCCAACTCATCTTGAAGCAGGTGTTCTGAAACCCTGAAGGTCTGAATTTTAAAAGTAACAGTGGGATTTCAGTAGCGTTAATGAGCAAAAGTGATAAAAAAAAAGCAACTTACTGACTGTAGTTCCTGACCTTTTCACTTTTTTTAATTAGCTATCATGTATGTGATGGGAGCCCTCGGACCTGCAGCTGGCTACCTGCTGGGTGGTGTCCTCATCGGCTTCTACGTCGACCCCAAAACTGTAGTGAACATCGATCAGAGCGACCCTCGCTTTGTTGGCAACTGGTAAAGACATATGCACATCTGCGTGGCTGTCTGTATGATTTTTTTTTCCATTAATTCTACACCCTCTCTTCTTCTGTGTCTTCCCAGGTGGAGCGGCTTTCTCTTGTGTGCCATAGCCATGCTCCTGGTGATCTTCCCCATGTTTGCCTTTCCCAAAAAGCTGCCTCCACGGCACAAAAAGAGGAAGAAGAAAAAGATTGGCTCTCCTGGTGATGTGTCCAGCGATGACGACGTGATGAAGGAAAAGTCGAGCAGCAAAGGCCAGAACGTCTCCTCCTCCATGGGCTTCGGAAAGGACATCAAAGGTGAGGACCAGATTATTATCGGCCTTTCTTTTACCCTTTAAAATGTGAGGTGTTAATGGAAGTTCTTCTCACAAAGGAACAGTGAACTATTGATGTACAAATGGCCCATAATCCAATCAATAGGCACAATTAGTTAACTTAACAAAGAGGGAAAGCTTCCTTGGAGGAGTTATTGATTAATGATGGAAGAGGTTATCAGGATTTGTTGCCAATGAAGCGCATTATTTACTGTAATTATGGTTTAGTTTAACTACAGACTGCCTCTGGTTTACCTTAATTAGTAGTAAACATGGCAGAAGACATTGATGGATGGAGGTGAAGACCTTTTCAAAGCTTCACAACCGTGTTAAGGAAAGTGAGCATGTGACATAATGTCACGTAATCTAAACAGACTTAAGATGAGCTGATAAGAATTTGGTGCTAAAACCTCAGAGGTCAAAATTAGCGTGACCCTGAGTCTGAGCCCATTATGTGCACAGAATCCATGCCTTCATACTCCAGCTCACACAATATTATGTTGATTGACACTTCATTACCTTAAAATACACAAATAAACTAATATTTATAATTTGGTTTAAATATTTTTGTTCCATTGAAACTGAATATGTTTATCCTTGGAATGTAATGTTTAATTATTGGAAATTATTAATACACCTTGTGACAAAGCTAGTGGTTAATTAGAGGAAAGATCCAGGTGTTCTCCACCAGTGCTGTGGCAAAACATGTGTATGTGTGACCTAATTTAAAAATAATAGCCAACCATCTGATTTAACGCCTACTTTCATACCATGGACTACCAAGACATAATGGCCAAATTCAAGCTTTAAGTCAGCTTTTTTACACATTTCTTTTTGCAAAATAAAACTGCCTTTTTAAAAGTAACAGCCTGTAACTGTGAACTATTGGATACCATTATTTATGAGCCATCTGCTTGACTGGGAATCTCCTGCTTTTCTCTGGGAGAGCCCCTCTAGACATGAAGAATCCCGCTCCAGTGTTTCCCAATTTTCTCTTGTCTAATTTTTTTTCACTCACCCAGACAGACTCTCCCTCTCTCTCCTTCACTATTGCTTCTTTAAATGAGCTCTCCGGGGAATTCAGTCACATTTCCACACACGGGCACCGACAGATGGAGTAGCAGAGAAGACTAACACAAACGTGCATGTTTGCGCTTACACTCTCCATCTTTGACTGAATTGCTATCATAAATTCTCCATCTACTCTATTTCAATAGATGCATATGGTTATCTGCATAGCTCGCAGCAGTCGAGGCAGGATTTTTTTTTGTCTTGGAGAGCAGATAACTGATGAAGCATGGTAC